GGGGCAGGCTTGCACAGTATACCCTTTGGTTGCGTGATGATGCATGGACGGGATGGTAACCATGGCAAAGAAACGATATATGATAGAATGAATGTAAAACTAATGTTCCCCCATGTAAACTATCACATAATTCACAATAAAACATTTATTTTAAAAAAACTATATACTAAATATTTGATATTCTATGTAAGTTTACAAGAGTCCTGGTGTGATGCTATAGAATAAGCGCTGGGCTGCTAACTGTAAGGTTGGCGGTTCAAATACGCCAGAAGCTCCTTAGAAACCCTGTACAGGGTTACTATGAGTCTGAACCTACTGAATGGCACATAACAATAACATAAGTTTAAAACAAAACAACCTTGACAAGATCGCCTTCATGGAACCAGGTAAACCTGAACTCTAAGACTAAAAGACTTTAGATAAAATTTCATTATTTGCAGTGGTTTGGTGGTGGTTGTATGCCCTAGAGTCGGTCCTGACTTAATGACACTGTATAGGGTTTTCCCGGCTGCAAGCCTTTATGGAAGCAGAAAACCTCATGTTTCTCCTGCAGTAGCAGTAGCCGGGTATCCTGGTGTGGAGCTGTAGGATAAGCACTGGGTCGCAAGGTTCTTGTTGTTAAGTGCTGTCTAGTCGGTTCCGATTCATAGAGACACTATATAGGGTTTCCAAGGTGAATTTGAACTGCCGACCTTGCAGTTCAAAGCGACCTTGCAGTCCAGTGCATTATCCCACAGCACCACACCAGGAACAGCAGTTGTTGTACCCATAGCGACCCGGTATAGGGCTTCCTAGGAGCAGCTGATGAGCTTGAACCTCTGACCTTGCGGTTCAAATGGCTTTGCACTCTGGCGCATTAACCAACATTGTTGTTATTGTGTGCCATGGAGTCGGTTCCGACTCATAGCGACCCTGTACAGAGTTTCTGAGGTTGTAAGTCTTTACGGGAGCAGAAAGCCTCATCTTTCTCCCACGGAACAGCTGGTATTTTCGAACTGCTGACCTTAAGGTTCGCAGCCCGGTTCATAACCACTACGCTACCAGAGCTCCTTTTTAACCAACATTAAAGGGGCAGAATATCTGTTGTCAACAGTAGTAGTTCTTTGACATTACTTGATCTCCATGTGTGAGCCTGAGGTGATTAGAAGCATAGCATAAACTTGGATAGTAACCATTTCTGGATTGTACCCCAGGCACTGGGCAGATTGTGTAGGCTGGTTATGTGCCTGTATTGGCTGAAAAGTTTATGTGTGGCACAAGGTAAAGGCTGGTGGCTGAAAGTCATCCAGAGACGTCTGGGAAGTCAGGTCTAGTGATTTGCTTCTGAAAGGTCACAACCTTGAAAACTATATGGCGCAACTCTACTCTGCACACAAGGGGTGCCATGAGTGGGGCAATTAACAACTGAGGATTTGTCATCATTCTTAAGTGGAGGAGGTCAGAGGTTTCCCAAGAGGCCTCCTCCCTACACAAGGAGGTATTATACATAGAGACTAGGAAAGAAAGGCTTTGAGGCCTGAGTCACATAACAACCATCCACATCCCCTTCTACCCAAAGAAAAGGCCCAACCACCCTGCCCCAATCTCCCCAGACGCTTTTGCCAAGGCCAAAAATACCACCTTTAACCCAGATACTTACTATCCCCGCCCACCTCCTGTAAATCTCTCCACCCTCCCTTTCCATTTCTGCTCTCTTTCTCACCTGTCCCGAATGATAGTCTGCAGCTCCCGGATCTGATCATTCATAGGTAGCAATTTAAGCTGAGCCCCCATCTGCCGAGAGAGTTCGCAAGCCCCTAGGAGGGAATCGCCAGCAGATGTTTCATAATTACCATTACCACCACTGTCACTGTTGATCGCAGAGTTGCTGGCGCCGCCACAGACCTGGAAGTCCCGTTCTGCTGGGACACTGGAAGGGGTGTGCCCTGTGAAAAGAACCAACTTGTCCATGGAGGCGCTGTTTCCCCCAGCATGTTCCGGGATCGGGTCGCAGGGTCGCAGTGATTCGGTGCTTGAGGTAGAGGCAGAATTTACTTGCTGATTGTGACAGGGCATGGAGTCCGGGAAACGTAAATCCGTGGCCATATACCGGGCTGTCCCCGCTGCTATCGACCCCTAAGGATAAAGAAGAGCAGAGAGAAAGGACCAAAGCTTTATGTGTCCTTCCCTCCAGACCCGTCGCCACTGTCAGTCCTAGATCTCTAACCTAGGCTTCCCCTCTCAAACAAAGCTGAAGTCAGTTTCCTTCAGCAAGGTTCCCCGCCCGCCCGCACCTGACGTTTTGTCTCTGTGAGCACTCTATTGGCTTCTCTCTCTGCCGCTCTGATGAACACAAATTGTTAACCCCTGAGTCACTTTCGCTGTTGGGTTCCTTTTTGTAGCCAAGCACATGGGGCAAGGGCAATGTGCCTGGTTACTAGGGTCTTGGGCTGGAGATGGGCTCCTAGGATTTTTGCATGCAGAGCAATACTTGATTGTTGTTGTTGTTGTTAAATGCCATTGAATCAGTTCTGACTCAAAGCGACCCTGCATAGTGTTTCCAAGGCTTTAAATAATCGTGGGAACAGAAAGCCTCATCTTTCTCCTATGGAGCAGCTGGCGGGCTCCAACAGTGGACCTTGTGGTTTGCAGTCCAGTGCTTATCATATGGAACCACTGTTCCCGAAATCACTGAAACTTTATAAAAAGTTTATAGGGACAATGCCCCAAAGAAATCAACAGTTTACAAATGGATTGTTGTTTCTAAGTGCTGTTAAGTCAGTTCCAACTGATAGCAACATTGTACATTTCCAAGGCTGTAAATCTTTACAGGAATAGAAAGCTTCATCTTTCTCCCAAGGAGCAAGTGGTGGGCTCCAAACACTGACCTTGTGGTTAGCAGGCCAGTGAGTATCCTACAGCACCACCAATGTTCCTACAAATGAATAACTTGTTTAAGAATGGACAAGATGATGTTGAAGATGAAGCTCACAACAGCAGACCATCTAAAGGGTCGCTATGAGTCAGAACCAACTCTACAATACACAACAACAAATTGAAATTGTAGTGTAGTTAAGCCCAAAATAATAAGGTTTTACAGAGGCCTAAATTAAGATTTGGAGTCCTGGTGTGGCGTTGCAGGATAATGTGCTAGACTGCAAGGTTAATTTGAGCCATAAGGCTGGTTGTTCAAACCACCAGAAACTCCTTGGAAACCTTATACAGGGTTGTTATGGGTCAGAACAGACTCAATGTCACTTAACAACAACAACAACAACAAATTGAGACTTAGGAGCCTTGCTAAAAGTCACATTGTAGGTGAAAGAGTTGGGAGAAGGCAATAGAGAATGAATATTAAATCCCAATTTTCTATGCAGTATGTTTGGTGACTCAGTTGTAGAATTCTTGTCTTCCATGAAGGAAATTGGGTTTGATTCCCAACTATTGAAACTTTTGGGCAGCTGTCATTTGTCTGTCAATGGAGGTGCTTGTGTTGCTGTGATGCTGAACAGGTTTCAGTGGAGCTTCCAGAGTAAGATGAACTAGGAAGAAAGGCCTGGTGATCTACTTCCAGAAATAAGCCAATGAAAGCTCTATGGATAACAATGGTCTGAAACACAAATGATTATTGAGATTGTGCAGGACCATGTAGGGTTTCATTCCATTGTGCATTGGGCCACTGTGAGTTGGGGGTGTGCGGTATAACTTGACAGCAGCTAACAGCAACAACATGCTTTAATTATCTCATTTAAGCCTTTAAACTACCTGAGGAGGTAGAGCCTCTTATTATTCCCATTTTAGCAAATGAGAAAACTAAGACAGTGAAATTAAGTAATTTTCTATTGTCACACAAGCATTAAGTGCAGAAGAAGCAGGGAATTGAACCCAAATCTGATCAGGTCAATCTGATTGTTTCTATAACCCAGATCCTCAAATTAGTGCAAGTTATATTCCTTTCCTGAACACAACACTACATGCTTCTACTAAATGATATATCACCTATAATATCTGATTAAATCCATGAACCAAAAATTAAACAATATAATTAAACTAAGGAATCCTGATATAATTTTCTAATACTTAATTCTCTAACGAGCTCCCTGGTAATATGTTTGTTCCTTAAACTCCCAGAATTCTTTCATTCAAGCTGACTTTGTTAATACTTAAGCCACTGTGTTTTAATTTAAAGTTTCTTGTGAACCAAAGCCTATTAATTAAAAAGATAACCAGTGCTCTGAATAAATACTATGATTCATTTTTCTTCTCAAATAAACATCAGTATAACTTTCAGAGGTATACCTTACCTTGAATCCGTGGCTTTCAATGATCTCAAAATATATATTTGGGCATTTTTTCAAATGTATATCGCATCTTCTTTATTATTTACTTTCTCTATGTTCAAACTATTTAATAACTTTTTATATATATTTCTATCCTTCTGAAATTAGTTTCTTTGTGAATGAAAAGCATTCCTTGTGTATCCTAAACAATTCCTGGTAAGGTATGTGGTATAAGGCAGGCAGATCTTGTATAAAAGAGTATACTTTCTTGTATAAAATAATATACCATTTCAAGTTGAATGAGCTGGCATAAACCTTAGGCAAGTCACTATCTTTTAGGGCATCAGTGTTCAGGCTTATAAAATGAAGGGTTGGGAATAATCTCCAAATTTCCTTCTATGTTAAAAAAAATCATGACATGATTTTGAATTTAAGTAACTATAGAATAAGCAGCCCTGGAGGTGCTGTGGTTAAGTATTTGGTTATTACCTGAAAGATCATCAGTTTGAACCCACCAGCTGCACTGTGGGAGAAAGATGTGGCAATCTATATCTGTAAAGATTGCAACCATGGAAACCCTATTGGGCAAGTCGACTCTATCCAATAATGTTGATACAAGTTAGAATTGACTTGACAGCAATAGTTTGTTTAATGTTGCTGATGGTTCATAGAATTGATAGGTTTTACCCTTTATCATTTGTGATATATTTGTTGTCCCCATTATAATTTATTAACCTTCAAGCTTTGATGATGAATACAAACCTGAATGACAGCACTGTCACTATGGGAAATAGAACCCACTTTATTACAATCTACTTTATAAGTAAAGGAAAAGACCCAGGATCAGCAAAGCAATGCTTAAGAAGAAGAATAAGGTTGGAAACCTCTCACTCCCTGACTTCAAAATTTATTACATGGCTACAGTGGTCAAAACAGCCTGGTACTGGTACAATGAAAGATACATTGATCAATTGAACAGAATCAAGAATCCACAAATTAATCCATACACATGCAGCCAATTGAATTTTGACAAAGTCCAATGGACTCAAGCATGACAATAGTAGTGAGGTTGGCCCAGGATCCAGCAGTGTTTCGTTCTGCTGTGCATAAGGTCGCTATGAGTCGGTACCAACTTGATGGCACCTAACAACAACAACAACCTAAATATATCACATGGGGAGGTGATAGTCCCTTCAACAGATGGTGCTGGAAGAACTGGAATGTGATGTGGAAAAGATTGAACACAAGAACTTTACCTCATACCTTATACAAAAAACAACTCAGCATGGATTAAAGACCTAAATGTGAATCCCAAAATTATGAAGGCCATCAATGAAAACATAGGGACAAATGTGAGTGCACTATGCAGACTACCAAACATTTTGAAAACTGCACAAACAAAAGTTGACGAAATAGATGGATGATTGGGACATACTAAAAATTAAAAGTTTATGTGCATCAAAAGACTTCATCAGAAGAGTAAAAAAGGGAACCCACAAAATGGGAAAAAAATCCTTTGCAATGATACATCACACAAGGGACTTATTTCTAAAATATATAGGAAACTAAAACACCTCTAAAAGAAAAACACAAATAACCCTATTAAAAAACAGGCACAGGACATAAACAGACACTCATCAAGGAGGAGACCTGAGCAGCCAACAAACATGAAGAAATGTTCACTATCATTAGCCATTAGAGAGATGCAAATCAAAACACATCAGCAATAACAGCAAAGATAAAAAAAAAAAAAATAAGTAGAGGGCAATTGATGCTGGCGAGGAGCCTGGGACTCGCCTGCATTGCTAGTGGGACTGCAAAATGGCCCAATAGCTCTGGAAAGCAATATGGCATGTCTTCAGAAGGTTAGAAATAGAAATACCTTATGATCCAGCAATTCCTCTACTTGGCATTTACCCACAAGAAATATGAGCCATAACACGAGTAGATATATGCACACCAAAGTTCATAGCAGTACTATTTACAATAGCAAAAAGATGGAGACAGCCTAAGTGCCCATCATCAGAAGAATGGATAAACAGTGGTACAAACACACAATGGAATATTATGCTACCTTGAAGAACTATAAGGAAGCTGTACACTATTACATAACGTGGAGCAAACTTGAGGACATTATGTTGAGTGAAATTGTTGTTGTTCTTGTAAGGTGCCATTGAGTCGGAACCGACTCAGAGCGACCCCATGCACAGCAGAAGGAAACAATGTCCAATCTTGGGCCAACCTCACTACCGCTGCCACACTTGACGCCATCAGTGATGCCACCTGGCTGATCCATCTCGTTGGGGGTCTTCCTCTTTTTCTCTGA